TATGTTAGAATTACTGAAAATTGCCCTTGGAAATAATGAATTTGAATTCAACGGGCAGATTTTTAAACAGAAAATTGGAGTACCGATGGGGTCACCAATGTCTCCTAGTTTAACTGATATTAGAATATATGAAATCGTTTCTGAAATATTAAAACGGTTCTCACAATCGTCCGAAATTTCTCTTCTATCTGTCTACAGAGATGACGGTTTTTTATTATTCAAAGGAAGTGAACAAGCGCTTATTGAATTTTACCAGATTGCAAATAGTATTCATCCATTGTTAAAATTCACATATGAAATTTCTAATAGTCAAATACAATTTTTGGGCGTAACAATATTTAAAGGAGATAGATTTAAAACGGAACAAATATTAGATATCAAATTATATCGCAAACCTACGGATAACTTCCAATATTTAGATAAATCATCAGCTCATCCCGCCTCTGTATTTAAGGGATTTATAATTGGCGAAGTTACACGGTTCATTCGATCGTGTAATAACAAAGATGACCTCGACACAGAGATCAAACTATTTAAACACAAGCTTATACTCAGGGGACACAAGGAAAATGAAATTAATCCACTAGTTAATAAAGCACTACGAAAAAGTAGGCAAAACACATTATGTTATAAAACAAAAAACAAACAGAAAAGTCCACCACTAGTCATAGCAACGAAATTTAATCCTTTATTTAAGCAGTTGGGAAGACGAATAAGAAAACACTGGCATTTGATTGAAGACGACGAGACCGCTCAACATCTATTTCCCAGACCGCCTATCATTGCTTATCGTAAACACAAGAATGTGAAGGAGTACTTGACCTCGGCAAAATTATAATGTAATTAGATAAAGAATGGACATTAAACTATAAGTGTATTACAGATTCACCAGGTGAAGTGCCCCAAAATGTAACTGCATTTGATACGTTACACGATAGAAACATATTGATAACAATTAAAAAAGTAATTAAAATCAAATGTTATAGTAAATAAAAATAAATTAGGCCAGGGCACCTGACGAGGATGAACGGCCTTGGTCGAACTTGACCTAAATGATATCCGAAACACCAGGTGTAATATCATCAAATTAAAGAAATTCATAGACGACCAGTTGATTACCACAGATCATTTACGTTGGGAAAATCCTTTCAAATAAATAGATGTGTAAAAGTTTATAATTAACCACAGAACAATCTACCGAGAAAAGGTCAAATCAGGTTTTAACAGTTAAAGATAATATATATAATTAGGGTAAATATATATAAGCGAAACATGCTATATATATGAATCACCAAATCATGCATAAACAGAACAATAACAGAATAAAACTGTAATTGAAGACAAACATTTAAATGCATATAAAATTGCATATAAAGTATACACAGCGATACATGGAAAATCATTATAGAAACTCGATACCGACAAGAAATAAAATCTATAGACAATGGTATTAGTAAGTTTTGCTGGGATTGGTTTATGGACACGACTATTTATAAAACACGACTATTTATATAATATAACCCGTAGTTCATCTCTTCCGTGCGAAGGTTGTGAGAACGTTGAGTATTTGGCATATCCTTTGTGTCCTTCAAAATAGGAAATGTCTACCCATAGTTCATGTCCTCCGTTCGAAGGTTAAGAGAAGGTCGAGTATTTATCATATCCTTTGTTTCCTTTAAAATAGGAAATGTGTACCCTTAGTTCATGTTTTCCGTTCGAAGGTTAACAAAACAGGTCTAGGATATATTTTCATGAATCAAATTGGCTTTTGTGATAAAAATTATCTCGATCGAATATTGAGTGATCAGTTTATTACCTTTTGGTTTGGCGATATAGAAAATTCATCTCGGGGACAATTTTAAAGGACATTTAAAAAGGACTTTGGATTAGAAAAATTTCTGATCAGACTATCTGAACAGAACTGAGGGTGGGTAACTAAATTAAGGACATCGAACTTACGTATTCCAATCGAGACAGGCCTATTACAGAACCTACCTATTGAATTTATTGTTAATTTGTTGTCGTCCTGAATATTCATGAAATATTTGCTACTGGACGTTAAGCAACCAACAATCAATCAATTCTGTTTTGTCAGTAACCAAGGCGCTGCTGGTAAAGGAGGAGCTTTTGTTGTTTGTTTGGGAATAGCTGTTTCTGCTGACGATTTCTTTGTCTGTTTGGATTGTTTCTCACATGTTGAAAATTGTGCCGATGGTCTTTTTGGCCAGGTTTCTTTTAACCAATTGTAGTCTTTTTCACACTGGTGAAATTTAGGTCCATCTGATTTGACTGTTTAGATCCAGAATGTTACTGATGACATCTGCTAACGTGTGCATGTCATCTAGTTGCATCTGATGTACTCTGTCAAAATATGGTAGGCGATGGAGTGGATGCATCCCTTTAAAACCAGTTTTCTTTTTAAGTTTAGATTTTTGGTCTTAATTCTTTTTTTTTGTCTTATTTCTATTTCTTCTTCCCTTGAATATGAATGTAGTTTGCAAGCAACCTATCCGTCTTCTTGGCGAATAAGGTATTATCTTTGCGAAATTGTGAATCTGTTTGTAAAAACTCTCTGTTGGATATGTGCTAAACGTTATTTACTGAACTGCTATGGACACCTGTATCTTTGCAGAAAAAACAAGCACGAATAGCTGCCTGACCTGAACAGTGTAAACGTTTTGGAAATGCTGGTATACATAAATATTGTAACAAAGCAATCTTCACATAAACCGGTGCATCCGTGTAGTCGTCCTACAAGTTGCATTCAATGTTTGAGGAAAATTAATCGACCAGAACATTAACATAAGGGTCCAGTGATTTCGGTTCCTTTCTACCATAGCCTGGAACAATACCTGACATCATTGGTCCTAGAATATAACGCATTTCTTGTGGTAGTGTTATTCAGGTGATGATAAGATGCCATATTGACTGTTTGGTTTTTATTTTGGTTCACACCATGAGCAAAAAGAGCCAATGGCACACAGTTCTGCTGTTGCTTATCTTTGAAGACTCCATCTGTCATCTGTTGACGAAATATATTGCCATTTGTATAGCTGCTTAGCTAGCCAGTTTGTTGAACTTGTTGGCATAAAGAATCTTAGCCAGGTTCTTAGTTCCATACCAACGAACTATGCGGGGTACTATAGGCATGTATTGAAATGTTTTTTTGTTCCTGTTCTTTGAAAACCCCAAACCTTATTGCATTCTGGACAGGCAAAAAGAATGGTGCTGCTGAAAGGAAAATTTTAAAGTCATTTATGCAGCATTTAAATTGTTCTACTGGCATCAGGTATGGTTGTATAATAGTGACAGATTCACTATAAGTGGATGGCAGTTGTTTGGGTGCAGTATAACACACTTTTCATGGTGAAGATACCGTGGCAATGCTGTCTTTGACATTTCATTATTTGACGAAAATATAAATAAATGTTCTGCTATGGCATCTTTGACGGTTCTAGTTGTCCCTTTATGAAGTGGCTGATTAAAAATCAAAGTTTTGTTAATTCCTTAGATTCTCGTACATTTGCAGGTTGTTCACTACTAGTGTCTGATATTTCATCGTGGGTGTTATGCATTTTCTTTGAATGAGCTCGGGCAGTCTTAATGTTGACAATTTTTCCTTAACCTTAATGAGGTTATATGTAAAAAGTAAAATCACAAAAATACTGAACTCCGAGGAACTTTCAAAATGGAAAGTCCCTTATCAAATGACAAAATCAAAAGCTCAAGCACATCAAACGAATGAATAACTGTCATATTCATGAATCGGTACAGGCATTTTCTGATGTAGAAAATTGTTGATTGAACCTGGTTTTATAGCTAGCTAGCCTCTCACTTGTATGACAGTCGCATCAAGTTCCATTATATTGACAACGATGCATGAACAAAACAAAACAGTCATAATTGGTAAAAATGTCAAAAATACAGCAGTCAACATTGTTGGATTGGTTTAACAGAATAGAGAATAAAAGGCAAAGCATATAAATAGAGAAAAATGGACCATAAATATGATGAAGGTGCTGAAATATAAAAGGAGGTTGCGGTGAATGGGGGATTACAAAATAGAGAATAATGGACCAAATAAAAAAATTAAAAAATATTGACATTACGTCCTTTGGTGCAATGCATGTAAGTCTGGCAGGCCAAGTTTTAAGCACTAATGTAGCCAATGCACTAGAAAGGTTTATGGCGATAGAATAAGTGTAACAACAGAATTTATACGCAACATGGACACATTTTTTGATTGTCTAAATGTAAGAAATTTAAATGAAGGCCACCAGAGAAAAGACAATATTTAACCTTTCACTGACTCAAATAATCCCAGGTATGATTATTTTAGTGCCGACTTTTTGAAATATTTTGACGACTGGAAGCAAAGAGTTGAAGTGAGAAATTTAAAATTTAGTAAGACACAGAACATTCAAATGCAGTTAAGCTACCAGACATAAGAAGGCTTTATGATGCTTGCGTCAGGCGTGTCTGTAATGTCTGTTCCCATTCTCGCAATTTTCTTATCAGGTACCTCCCTGTTAACAATGAAGGTACATCATATAAAGTTTGTCTCTTGTCTTGTGGGGCATTCATGAACACAAACGGCACTCTTGTTTTTGTCTTAATATAAGTTTAAACATGTTTATAAAGCACGAGCATAACCAACATATAAATAAGTCGTTCCAGTATAACAACTGAACAAACTACCAGTTGTTGTTATAACTCTTGCTTGTGTATCAAAATTAGAAATGTCAGAGGGTCATGGTTAAAGTAGTTGCCAATCAAATTTTGTAAGAGTTATGGGCCTTTGGCCATTTTCATTAATTTTCAAACAATTTTTTTTTAATTTTTATATGCTTCATCCCAGCATTGTAGTTATGCAAACCATCCTGAAATACAGTAAGCACTTAATAAAATTTTGTCGAATTGAGAATTTTTATTGGATAAAATTGATACATGTAGATGTCATTCATACTGATAATTGTGAAACAAGTTTAGTATATTCAGAGTTGGAAATTATAGCCCGCCCGACCGCCCGAGACGGCCTATTTTACGATCGGGCGGTCAAAAATTAAATTTCAACAGTCCGGTGGACGGTCTATTTTTTGAAGGTGGCTGGGATTACCTTTTTCTATTTTTGGAATGAGTTCTCAGTATTACCCCATTCATAACAGCACGTAAGAAACATGACTGTCAATTAACCTTGTACTACCACGTGTTTCCACACGATTTCTGCAGGGAACATGGTGATACCTGTTGTTTGTAAGATCCGCACTCATTGGCTTGTTGGTATCGAATCGTCCAATCACGATCGCGTTTATTAAATAAAAAATAAATATATATAAATAAATTTGTTTTGGTAAACTCGATGTCTTTAAGACAGTACTTGGGCCTTTTGTCGCCGAAAAAGCGAACTGCTGTTGAATCAACAGAAAAAAATAAATTGTATGATCAGTCTAAGAGGAAGCGGGTAATTGTTCCTGGTTGGAAAACGGAGTTCGAGTGGTTGATTTGTGACGACTCGCATGGTAAAATATTTTGTCAACCATGCCGTTCAGCGTATGGGCCCTTGGCTGTCAGAAAAGTACCTGAAAGATTTCGGCGATATGCAAAAGGCCCGTTTGTAGTTGGTTGTGCAAATTTAAGGCACGATGCCCTTACTACACATGCAAAATCCGATGGCCACAACTACGCAGTTGAATTTCTGAAAAATCGAGGACAACCAACAGGAGAGAGTGTAGCTGAAAAAACAGTACAAACCCTCAACAAGGCATCATTTCATAGACTTGAAAAACTATTTAGGAATGTACATGCCATAGCGAAAAAGTCACGGCCTATTTCTGATTATACATGGCAATGTGAGCTTGACATCCAAAAGGGTATTGACTTAGGAGACACCTACAGAAACACCAAAAGTTGCAAGGAATTTCTGGTTGCTATTTCGGAAATTGAAAGGGGTAAAATTGAGGAAAAGATTGAACTAGCCAAATTTTATACCCTTATGTCTGATGGATCCACTGATGTTTCCGTTATTGAAAATGAAATTGTCTACATTCATTTTGCGCATAGAGGTATTGCCTACTGCTATTTCCTTGGGCTCATTCAGTGTGAGTCTGCTGATTCCAAAGGAATATATGCAGCAATTCTACAAGCTTTGAATTTCAAGAACTTGACGGTCAATGATATTCTTAAGAGAACCGTAGGATTTGCTGGGGATGGCGCATCAGTGAACACGGGACAGCTGAATGGTGTTATTGCACATTTTCGAGAAAATGCTTCCTCTTCTGTAGTCATGGTCCAGTGCATGTCACATAGAATTGAACTTGCATACAAAACTGCTTTCAAGGTATAAAAAGAACAAATTATTAGGTTTGTCTTGTGTTTATTTTTACTTTATTCTTTTTCTAATAAGGGTATGTTCTTTACTAGTATACTGTTAATTGAGGTACGTTTGACTAGATTAAATGCAATCCAAACATTATTATTTACAACTTCTGGTTTTTCTGTTAAAAGTCTCCAATTTTTATCATTTTGTGTATCAATCTTACACTGCCACAACAATAAAATAAATTATAAATTAAATTTAAATAATACTTCATTCTTCAACATTATGTCATATTCATAACAGTAATACATGAAAATTTTTACAATAGTTATGTAGCTCTCTAATAATCCAAAATAATTCCAAAAATCCACTTTTAGGTAGCTCCAGTTTTTACTAAAGTCTTTAGTCTCCTAGATGATCTGTTTAAATTTTACCACAAAAGTCCTAAACAGACAAGCAACTTGAAGCAGACCTTTACCGCACTCAAGATCAAACAGACAATGCCAACAAGGATTGGTGGTACCCGATGGTTAGGACATGTTCAGACTGCCCTAAACAGTCTCTGGAAGGTATATCCTGCATTTGTCACTCATCTTGGACAGGTAACCATAACGAATTGTCAATGCACTTAGATTTAGAATTAAAAATAATTTGGCTTCGAGCATCAATGAAGAGACATTAATTGTTGCTATGTGCATCTGCCAAATCTGGTCACTCACTCACTGATGCAGCAAAATTGGTATTTTTAATTTTACATGATTTTTCAATTTATTTTATATTTAAAAAATGAGTACCATACATGTAAGGTTTGTAATACTTTTCTCATACATCAGACAATGATTTTATATTTATACTTTGCCAAGTGAATTTTTCAATGAAGACAGTATTTTTTATATTTTATGCTTTAGCTTTCTTTTGATTTTCTATGAACTCATTCCCTCTTAACTGGTAGTCTGAGTCTGTGCATTACTTATATACTACATGTACACATTTCTTTTTCAGGTTTCATTACACAACACTCAGAGTGCTACACAATCCAAGGCAAAGTATCTTCTTAAACTTCTCAGAAGCAAGAGTGTTATTGTATTTGCCCATTTCATTAATGATGTTGTCAATGTACTGACCAAGCTTTCCATGTGCCTGCAGCAGAGAGCTACTTGCCTTTATGAAGTTCACCAGGATCTAGAGTGTACCATAGCCAATATACAAAAACTAGAAGCAAGGTTCATTTCTATTCAGCTTTAAACATAATGCAGGCTTGCACATTATCAGCTTCATTTTCTCTTTGTTTGTCCTTTACCAATAACTTTTTTATTGAAACTTATCCAGATATCACTTACATGTTTTAATAATCTTTTATTATTTTTTTTCAAGTGTCATTCACTTCTTACAGTGCAGTTCTAAGGAAAGGACAAACAATTAGACCTTAGTCTATTAACCATGTAGAGTAGACCATATTTTTTTAATACACTTCTATATCATATGCTTTTAATACACTTCTATATCATATGCTTTTAATACACTTCTATATCATGTGCTTTTAATACGTCTTACCTCATGTAATATATGCATGTCATGTATAATAATCTGCTTTGTCTATATATCTCACTAAAAACCTAATGCACTAATTATATATCTGCATATGATTGACAGATTGTTTTTTGTTGATCATGGACTCGTGTTAATATTCACAGCTAACTTTTTTATAGGCCAGGTCCAGAATTAAGGAAAGTTAGAGAAATTATTAGTAATGATGGCAAAATTGAAGGTGAACTCCTTGTGGGAAATGATGATTGTGAGGGCCAAACAGTAAAAGTCTTAAAAGCTTTGTTTGAGAGTCTTCAAAAGAGGTTTAAGGATGTAACAGAAGGTGTAAAACAAGCTACCAAGATTGCTGATTTAGCCTCATGGCCTGCAACTATTGATAATGAACCTGGTATATTTGAAAAAATCAGGGCAGATCTGTTCTTTTAAAAATTAATTTCTTAATTAACACTATCATGCTGATTTTTGTTTTTATTAAAGTCATATTTTATAATGCTTTGCAAACAGAAATTAATTTTCAAATTCCTTGAAATGTTGATTTCTCTACAAACCTGAAAATAAAGATAGATATTGGTGAACCATATAGATTAAATATACAGTTTTCTCTGTGCTACAGCAGCAGTTCCAAATTTCCAGACAGTTTGTTATTTCTAAGTACATGTACCTAATGTATTTGCAGATTACAATCACAGATCTTTGACATTGCAGATTTTCAATTTTATTTAATAAATTTGCAAATTTGATATGAAATTGGAAGTGTTATCTATTGCAGAGTTTGGTGATGAAATGGTGAGCAATCTGGTTGACCACTATAGAGAGGTTATTGGATCAGACTGATGGTGTAGATGTAAGCAACATAGAACCAGAGTGGACAATATTAAAGAACCTATTGTATAAAAAGTGAGTTAAACTGCAATTAGAATTCAGTATTAAATGTCAAAAATGCTGAGTTTTGGTGAAAAAAAATGTTCAAGTATTTTTTGTTTTACAGATAAAGGGCTTTGAAAAGTCAACCAAATTGCTTATACCATCTCTATTCATGATTCATGCAATGATAATTGCTGTATGTCAAAACACATTGTTTTAAATATTTTATGGCTATGTATCTATTTTCAGTCATAAAGTCCATGAGATGAATTGGAGCACAATCAATGATCTGTACCAAGACAAGTGTGCCAATGCACTGAATGTAATAGATCTAGTGTTGAGTCTACCAGCAGGAACATCAGAATGTGAGAGGGGATTCTCACAAATGAAAATTATCAAAAACCAATGGCGTAATAAACTGAAGTCTACATCAATGACATTACTGATGACAATACAATTGCATTCAGATCCAATTACACAATTTAACCCTGAACATGCAATCCACCAATGGAACAAGGGGGCTAGAAGACGACCAAACTTCATGCAAAAAAAGGTGAAAAAAACTGTTGTTCAACAGATGGAAGAAATAATGAATGTCATTGAGGATGAAACACAAGAACTTACAAAATACTGTAGATAATTTGGAAACTGCTGCTTCCTGCCCTGACAAAGCTGCTGACTCTGACAATGATTCTTGTTTTTCTGACATGGAGGAGGGATTTTATTCTGGTGATGAGATTGGTACTGGTAGTGACAGGAGTGACATTGACTGAGTTTCAAATATTGTGAAAATGAGGAGCAATAAAATTATAAATGAAACCAAAATTTTATTTTTATTTGCTTAAAAGTAATTTTGTGGAACAAAGGTACAAACAAAGGCATGCTGAATTACACTGAAGACAAACTAACACCCCCCAGTGCCCACCCCAAATTCTAAAAATGAAATCACACCTTGCTTCTGAACAAATGGTCATTAGGCTTAGCAGTGTCTGCTTAAATGTGCACTTGTAAGTCTTGTTGCAGTGTGTTTTACATAAGCTGTCATAAGTCATTTTCATCACAAAAAATCCTGAAGTTTATCTAATAATACTTCTAGTCATTAAAACATCTCAAAACACAAAAACATAATTTAGAATCTTGAAGGAAAATGGGTTGGATTTTTATTGCATTAATTTTCAGGGCTGGTAAATTTTGATCAGGACAGGTAATTTTTTTATGCAGCCAGCCCTGTGGTCTGGTAGACATTTCCAGTGAGTTTCCTACCCTGGTATATTGTTTTATCTTCACCAATGTTGTATGCCTGCCACATTCTCAAACCATCATCTCCAAAATCAAAGTTGAAGAAATTGGATATATTCTTTATGGGATCTTAGTGTTTTTTTCGCATCTAGATCCAAACCGGTATCAACCACTCTTACTCTATTGAGTCTTTTGTCCAAATTTCTCTAGGGCCTGCACAATTAACAAAGAATAACTTTAATGTTTAAGCAAAAACTATTTCGTATAATGATTTTACTCCTTGAAGTAGACATAATTCAGGGCCAAACTTAAATATTCCATCAAAAAGTCAATCATTATACATCGATGTAATGTTTAGTTTTAAGGACTCATCCAACGTTGGGTACTCCAAATTTGTTTCCTACTTTTTTTAAAATGACTAAAATTCGCAAGTCTATCACATTTTCAAAGCTTTCTATGTCATTAATGCTACATTGTTTCTCGGAACTTACATCGGCTAATGCACAGAGACGTTTGGCAAAATTAAATACATATATTCGTTTTTAAGTCTCTTCTATTTTTATATATTTTTTCTCATAATTATCCAGTCACTCCTTCATTGTACATATGTTATTGTAGTTAATCTGTAATTTGTTGCTATAACTATTTATTGTTAATGCCTTAGTGCTAATAAAGTTATCTTATCTTATATAAAACTGCAAGAAAAATAGCCCCCAAGGGTGACTGGGGAATAGAAGTATGGTCACCATTGGTCTTCCTCCGACCGGCAGTAAAACCCGTGCTAAAGTGGGGCGTCCGTTTGGCTGTGCGGGATGTACAAATTTGCAGCCACGTCCGGTCAGAATGGGGACGTTAAATCCGATGCCTCGTGTAAAGAGAGTGCCACGCTCTTTGCACGTTAAGAACCCTTGCAACAACTCTTTGAGGGGTCCGTAGGTGACCTGTTGCAAGGCTAAATTTCTGTCCTTATCCAATATACCCTCATTTCCCGTGGCAGTCTAAATTTCTCCGACCTTAATCCCTTAATCTATTACAGAACCTACCTATTGTATTTATTGTGAACTTGTTCTCGTCCTGAATATGCATGAAATATTTGCCACTGGACGTTAAGCAACCAACAATCAATCAATCAATCAAGAAAAATACAAAACAAGTTTTCTCGTTAAAAGAAACAAGAGTGTGTCCATAGTACACGGATGCCCCACTCGCACTATCATTTACTGTGTTCAGTGGACCGTGAAATTGGGATAAAAACTCTCATGTGGCAAATAAATTAGAGAGATCGTATCATAGGGAACATGTGTACTAAGTTTCAAGTTGTTCGGACTTCAACTTCATCAAAGACTACCTTGACCAAAAACTTTAACCTGAAGCGGTACAGACGGACTAACGAACGGACGCACAGTCCAGAAAACATAATGACACTCTACTATCGTAGGTGGGGCATAAACATAATCTGAGAACTGAATTGTGACTTTTTGTCCTGTGAATTATAGTACGTGACTTTTTGTCCTGTAACTTTCTGTCCTACATTCGAAGATAATTGGTAGAGATATTAAATATTTTTTTCATTCAGAGTATGTTCAAAATTATAATAGAACAATAGCATAATGGCATTACAATAGAACAATATCATAAAAGCGGTATGTTTAAAAGTACAGAGCCACGTCATATGTACCAAAGAAACACAATAAGTCTCACGTTCAAGGCATACCAACAAAAAAATGAAAGACAAAGCAATTAGACAATGATAAAAAGGGGACAGAATTTAAAGATCGACAAATTATAGGAATAGACATATTTTTCTTTATAAATTTTTGACATCTACTGTATTCAGTTATTTTCATGACCAACTTTGTTTTTATTCAACCGTTAATTCATTGCTGTGCACAGGGTTAGTAGACTAAGGCCGTGCTATGCACAGGGTTAGTTGATTTAGGCCGTGCTGTGCCCATGGTTAGTAGACAAAGGCTGTGCTGTGCACAGGATTAGTTGACTCAGTCCCTGCTGTTAGTAGACTTATTCAGTTGACTAAGTCTGTGCAGTAAAACGCTTGCCGAAGTCGGTCGTTCGTTTGGCTGTGCGGTATGTATTAAGTTCGCAGTCACGTCCGGTCAGAATGGGAACGTTAAATCCGATGCCTCGTGTAAAGAGAGTGCCACGCTCTTTGCATGTTAAGAACCCTTGCAACAACTCCTTGAGGGGTCCGTAGGTGGCCTGTTGCACGGCAAAATTTCTGTCCCTATCCAATATACCCTCATTTTCCAGTGGCAGTCCAAATTTCCCCGAACATCATCCCGGATGGCCTCTATTATGACAAAACCTACCTATTGTATTTATTGTGAACTTGTTCTAGTCCTGAACATGCATGAAATATTTGCCACTGGACGTTAAGCAACCAACAATCAATCAATCAATCGATCTTTCAATAGCTTTATTGAAACACTCTAAACTGTTTATTTTGTACAATTTATGTTAAGCTGGCTATTAGTATTTGATTAACAATGTGTTTTATTAACAAAATGTTGTCCTTGAAAACTTAAAGCTTACTTTGCAGTCTGAGTGAAAGTTCAATGTTGAAGGCCGCACTGTGACCTATAATTGCTTATATTTACTACTTCAGATCTAGGATGGGAATTGTTTCATTGGAAATCATACCACATCTAATTTTTATATACATGTATAGTTATAATGTATGCACCGTTTTTAACATAACAACATGGT